CCTTGGAGACAACGGTCTGGCCAAAGGGAGAAGGCAGAGTATGCCCTGGGCCCCTTCATTCTTGCCGTACCAGCTGGTAGGAGGGGTCCAAGCACACACACACACACACACACACACCCCGTCTCCAGAGGGCAGCCCGACCTCCAGTGGCCACCCCCACAGTCAGGGCATGGCCCAGGGGGCCTCCCAGGGCAGTCCCTCCCAAGGTGGCCTGGCCCCCGACAGTGGCAGCAGACGAATGCAGTCGATGAACAGCCCCCCCCCCCAACCCCTCCTGGGATCCGAGTAAAGCTGGAATTTGATTTCCAATGTAGTTGTATGGGAAGAAGGGCCACTAGGAGGTGGTTCTTTAGAGTCTCCACCCTCAAGGGTGCATTAGAAGTGCTTGCTCTCACAGGTCTGAATTAGTGTGCTTAAAGGGAGGTTGTTAAAAAGTGAGCTTGGTACCTCCCCTCACCATCACACATGTTCCTGCTTTTGCATGTGGCAGCTTCTCTCTTTGCTTCCCCACAGTAAATTAAAGATGCGGCCTTCACCAAATGTGGCTGCCTAATTTTAGATTTTTCAGCTTCTAGGACTAAAATAAGCCTCTTTTATTTGTATTTTACACAATCTTAGGTGTTTGTTAAAGCAATAGGAAATTGACTAAAATTGTCTACTAGGAGGTCTGTTTAATATAAAAGGGCAGAATGATTAGTATAAGTTTACAAGGTCACTGGTATTTCAGACTGATGTTTCTGTGCTCATAAGACAAGTGCAATCACAGACCTAAGGTCTTTCTACTTATAAGAGAAACACCATGTGGCACCACGAGTCACATCTTTACTTCAGACTCTTACCTAAACATGGGCTAGAATCTTTTTATCCTACTGTATTTGATAATTCTAGTTGAAAAGAAGATGAAACATGTGAATAACATTTGATTTTATAATGTCTATAACGGCCGATTTTAAATACATATGTTATGCTTTATGTTCTATGGAGAGAGAATACAAATACTTTCCTCTTCCGCCAAATGAGATTAAGTTTATAACAGAAAACTAGATATTACTGTCTTTATTTTGCTAAAGTTAAAAGAAAGGGCTAAGTCATCTACAAATGTTTTCATGATCAACCAAGAAAGGACAGTTAAAAAATTTTACTCAAGAAATTAGGACAAAAGCCCAAAACATGAACAAAAAGAAGGGCAAAAGAACTAATGAAAGTGGCGGGGCATAGCGGCACATGCCAGCACTCAGA